TTTTTATTATTACTTTCTAAGAATCTTTATGTCCCTATGAATTTCTATGAATTATCTATTTCCTTTATGTACAAAATAAAAGGATACGTTATGGATTTTATGCATTTCTAGCGGTGGAGAATGCGTAGAATAGAACAAAATAAACATTTAATAAGAATTTTATTTTGAACGTTTTAAAGTTTCCAATATGAAGTTTAAATACAATTCAATTCCCGCTGCTTTGAACAAAAAAAATCAACGTCAGAGAGAAGTGCACAAAACAAACTAATTTTATAGGATCTAATTACTCGTTACTTAAACATGCACTGCAATAAAAATTCTTGTATAGTATTGACACAGTTTTTCTTATATTTCTGTTCAAATAATACTCGTTATGAAGGGAATAAATTTATGATTAATTTTCTATTCCAGAAGTTAATTTAAAAAAAGTTGAATTTGCTGAAAATAAGATCCATAATCCATTAATAATAAACAGTCGGTAAAATAAGTTCGCGTGCTAATATTCTATGAAATTCGGTCATTTGTTGCTTTACTTACATGTTCTCTTGGTTCGACTTCACGCATTCCATGACGATCGACGAAATCACATTACCGACCACTTCGTGTAAAACACGCAGAATTAGTTCGTCCATTTATGTCTCTGATTTACGTAGGTTTCGAGTAACAGAATTCGATCGGTACGCGTGTAATACATGAAAATAATGATGAAATGGAACGCTGTTACCTGCCGTGAATTTGTTTCCTTTCTGAAGGTTAATCTTGTTTCTCCTTGTTCAAGTACAAAGCGCGAAGTTTATTATTTTAAACCAAACATTAGCAAAGACTTTCAAAACAAAGTTCGATTATAAGTTGTGTTCTATTTTTTTTTGTGGTTTCATTTCATATACAGTAATTAGACAATATATAATACTTATAATATAGAGAAACATCAGGATTTGATTTTTTTCAGTGATTGATTAACTTATACTGCATAAATAATAATTGATGGAAACATTTTTTTTATTTATGGTCTCGTTAGCTGCTAAACAACATTTGCTAAGAAATGATGTATTACGAGATTTTAGTTTTCTGTCAAAGTCGAAATACGCATTTGCTTTTGCACCTCCATTTTAACGAACAATAATTTTAAGATTATTGTCCTGCATTATTTTTTATTTTATGGCGTTCAGCAATTCAATTTTAGAAAATTTGTCAAATGTGCACCTAATATTCTTGAGAAAGGAATTGTGTTTATCAATCGTTGTTAGCAAAGTGTTTTATCTTCCGTGCAATGAAAAGTTTCATAGGCTTTAAAAATTTATAGAATTTGTATGTGGATACAATATAGAACAATATAGCAACTACCATGAAATTTTAATAAAGTCAACATTTTATTTTTAACTTCTTTGAAGATGATAAATGATTATAATTTATCATAATTTTAATTAATTGTGATTAACATCTTAATTTTCATTAAAATATTGAATTCTTAAATACATTAATACTCGTTTGTATAATGCAACTAGAATAATCAAAATTTGTCTGTTCATAGTTGGCTTATAAAATAATATATATCGTTTTCAAAAATTTAACATTATTGAAAATTTTGTTTCAAACGCTATTGCTATTGTATCAAAATTGTCGCGAGCTAGTTTCAGTCAGTAGAATGAATAATTGCACTCACGAGCATGAAGCTGATCACTTGAACGTTTGCAAAAGAGAAAATTTGTAAAACGTGTCTTCCGAGGAAGATAAACTTTTTAGGCTGTAACACTCTTATCGCTGATGATTATAGAGGTCGTAGGACCCACGAGGCTGTAACGAGAATTGCAGAGTAATTAAGTTCGCGGCTCTTTAAAACAAGCCATCGTAAATACACAAGCGACTGTGCATGTAGCAACAACTGTGACTATAACAATCCGACAGTTGGTATTTCATGTGCTTACGTGTTCTACTTTTCGTGTAAACATTAACACTGCTCGTATTGTTATGTACAAAGTTACCGATGTGACATGTTTCATGTCGAAAACTTTATTCTCTGTAGAATGACAGAGGAACTTAAGAACTCTTTCGAAACGAAAACTACGTATTGTTGGCGAACACTTGAATATTATTTAAATTCGTGCTGTAAATTTATCATTAATTTATTCCAATCTTTATCAATAATTTTAGAGCGGTATGCAGTGGTCAAGTTCAAGTGATGATTATTGAATATGAAAAACGAGTTCGTCGAAATATTTCAGGTTGATTTTTATTGTAATGGCTTGCAAATAATTGATGAAATTGATAGCTATTATTTTGTTCTGGACGACATGTACAGTGTCTTGATTAGTATTCCACATAATTTTCTAATTAATATTCGATGTCCCGGTACGCTGGCATCTTGTGAAAGTTACAAATGTGTTTCTAAATACGTCTAGACTATTTCTGAAACATAACGTTCTAATCGATTTAATGTTGTCAATTAATAAAATACTATTGTCAATGTTAATAGATTCATAACTGAGAACTCAACAGACAAAAGTTTCTTCTGTCAAGATTTTTGCTTATATTGAAATTTTCGTACGTGTGAGTTAACTATAGATCTTTACGCAAGATTACAATCTCAAATTAATTGACACGCCTGCAATTAACACAAGAATGTATTACTTTTATTAGCTGTTTAATGAGGTTTAAAAGAAAGTCATAGTTCTATTAGTCTTCATTACTTCATATTAGGATTTATCAAAATGGCGACTTAATTTTTTTATACACGAAGAGAAATCTTATCGAGATTACTACTTTATCATAAGGTGTAGGTACTCGTAAATGAAATATCACTATTTCAGTTTAAAATTAAAACTTCATACTGCATTTTACCAATATCATTTTTTCATCTTCTTCAGATAGAAACAACGTATTTTAGAAAATACAAGTCAAACTGATGAAATTGGAATTAAAAAGTATTTCAAACTGCTAAATTATTCTGATGTAAATATTCATTGAATTTTGCATAATTGCTGAACAATTCAGTTTTTTCCAATGTTCTGAATGATGATCAAACCTTAATAATATTTAATAAAATTTCGAAATATTTTAGAAATATTTTTCTTAAAAGCAACACACGTAAAATATACACGTTTGCTAATCGAATTGCTAATATAACGGTGAATGCTAGACAACAACACTTTACAAACGTACGTAGGTACATCACAAACCGTTATCGCAGAATAACTGAATATTTTATAAGCAAACTGGATTTCAAATATTTATAGACCGTACAGATACATAAAAGAAGCAAAGTTAAAATATTTATTCCATCTATATTCAATTTAACGATTGTGCACGATTCAAACGACTATTAGATTATTGCATTCTGAATAGAATTGATCTGATATTGAAACGAAATTAAGAAAGTTCATTTACCTAAAACTAGATCACAATAATGTGTAAACAACTGCTATGAAATACAGTGCTATTGTAATATCCTAAAAATAAGCATAGTAATGAAGTTCTTAATACATACATTAAGTAACACATAAACTGAAGTAAGACGAATGAAATATAGAAGAGCAAGAATCACCGAGTAACGAACTTTCTTATTAAACACGATCATATAGCATATAACACATATAACTGAAAAAAATCACCTCTACGCGATACTTTCGTTTGTTAATATTATAATATTTTATACTCTTAATATGTACATCCCAATGTAGCAAGAATCATATCAATACATTCGTCTGCGGACGTTAGTAAGGCAATCGTTTGAAATCTCGTGGCAATAAACGCGTTCAATGTTAACATATTCACTTCGCGTGATTTCCGTTCCAATAGTATTAGAATACCAACACAACAATTAAGATTCGATGAAAATATTAAGTCCACAATTTCACTGATTGCAATCACTTCTCGAACAAACGTTAACCAAGTAAACCGTGCATTCTCTGTTTATATATCGCATGTAATAAATATAAAAATGTGCAAAACACATTGGAATACAAATTTCAGTAGTAATTAATCAAGTTTATACTATCTACCCTATACTATTTACCCTACTAAACACTTTTCCTTGGTGTTTTTTCAAACAATATAACGTCAGGCGTAAACACACACAGTTTGTCTCGTCGACCAACGCGAATATGTCTTATGTGAAGAAAAGCACACTTTTCGAAACCAAATATCAATAAAAAAAAAAGTGTAAAAAATATAAAAGCACTTACTTTTTCAGCCACTTGAACATTGGAATAAAGCAATTTCGGTAGAAATGAATAAAGTTTACAATTTCAAACAATTTACACTACCAAACACTTATCCTTGGTATTAATCTATTTAATCAGTTTTCAAACCATAGGACGTCAGAAAGGACACTTTTCGAAGCGAAAATAAACGTGGAAAAAAATGTAGAAAAATAAAGAAGCACTCACTTTCTAAGCCACTTCAACATTGCAATAAAGCAATTTCAGTAGAAACTAATAAAATTTACAAATTCACATAATTTACACTAGCAGGCACTTATCCTTGGTATTGATCTATTTAATCAGTTTTCAAACCACAGGACGTCAGAAAGGACACTTTGCGAAGCCAAAATAAACATGGAAAAAAGTGTAGAAAAAATAAAGAAGCATTTACTTTCTCAGCCACTTGAACATTGAAATAAAGCAATTTCCGTAGAAACTAATAAAATTTACAATTTCACATAATTTACACTAGCAGGCACTTATCTTTGGTATGGATCTATTTACTCAGTTTTCAAACCACGGGACGTCAGAAAGGACACTTTGCGAAGCCAAAATTAACATGGAAAGAAGTGTAGAAAAAATAAAGAAGCATTTACTTTCTAAGCCACTTGAACATTGAAATAAAGCAATTTCCGTAGAAACTAATAAAATTTACAATTTCACATAATTTACACTAGCAGGCACTTATCTTTGGTATTGATCTATTTAATCAGTTTTGAAACCATAGAGCGTCAGAAAGGACACTTTGCAAAGCCAAAATAATTATGGAAAAAAGCGTAGAAAAAATAAAGAAGCACTTACTTTCTAAGCCACTTGAACATTCCCATCATGCCCATCGCGCACGTGGCGCATCGGCCGATCGCACGTAGATAAGACTCGGCTAGCTGACAGGTGAGCACCGTGACGCCGGCGAGCAACGAAACCGCGAACCTGCTGGGTGACGGGCGCGGATTGTGCCGTTCCGCTTCCTTTCCGCGACTGACTACGAGCTGACGAGCGCCGGTACCGGCTCGACACTTCCTTCTGACACTTCTGACAACACAACTGACCGGCCGCCACCGCCGTCTCGCGTTCGCCCCGACTCCTATCCCTTGCACAAACGCCGCCCCACTACCGATATCCTGGACGAATCTTCTTCCGTGTCCTCGTGGGTTGTTCCTTTCGATCATTTCACCGGGGAAAAAAAACAATGTTAGGTTTCGCGTCAGGGTTGTTGAAATTCCTAGTCCCCGTCTAACGAACAATGGGAACCACCCCAGGGTCGAGGGGATTCAACGGAATTTGTAAAATTTGTTAGTAGAACTGTTATTTTTGAAAATGGTATGAGTCCAATTTTGAAACAAGAATGAGTTAAAATTCTGCAGAGGTACACCGAGGTCACCAGTACATAGATCTAGAGACACTTATCTATTAAAGATATATGAAAAAAAGACTTATACGTATATTGAATATTGTAACTAAGAAATGTTACATGTATTCTATGTACAGGGTGAACCACGAATCGTGATCAGTAGAGATTACTCTGTTATTAGCAGTCCGATCGAAAATGTTTCTATCTGGTATAGCATGGTTTCAAGAGAGCTTTAACGTGATTATAGCAAATTTTGTGTCAATTCTTTTTTTTCGTGATTATTCAAGGTCACCTTCAATTTTTTGCAAAGACACCTATAATTTTTTTACGTCTAACACATGTTATGTTATTATACTTACCGAATTCGTACTGAAATCCTCTAACAGATAGGCGTAAAAAAATTATAGGTATATTTGCAAAAAATTGAAGGTGACCTTGAAAAATCATGAAAAAGAAGAGTTGACAAACAATTTGCTATAATCACGTTGAAGCTCTCTTGAAACCATGCTATATGTGATAAAAATGTTTTCGATCGGACTGCTAATAACAGAGTAATCTCTACTGACCACGATTCGTGGTTCACCTTGTACATGTATGTAAGAATTTTGAGATTATTAGGAAGCTTGTTGAACGTCTTTATTGCAAATATTGTACTGCTCTTACAACTAAAAATAGTCTTATTTATCTTTGGTAATATTATATCTTAATTCCTAATAATACTATCTGATTGCACATGTTCCTTATTAAGATTTTTTAAATGATAAATTAGAGCTTCTAAAGAAAAAGATTGTTTAAATGATAAAGGTAAATTGAGACTATCTAACTTTTTCATGAATGACTGATTTCATGTTTATAATAAGAAAGTCAATAGAGTACGATATTCTCCTGAATTGGTCAAACTAAGTTTGACTGTTAAATAGAGATGCATAAATGTTTTTTTTAACTGGTACAAGTCCATTTGTAACAACGACTCAATTTATTTAACACATTTTATGAAGCAGAATTCGTAAAATATGAGTAAAAGTTAATAATATTAACTATCTTTACGATTATAAAATGGCAGTTGTATTAATTTAACAAATATGTAAACGAAATTTGTTCATTAACAATGTTACAGAAGAGTGTATAACCGATGTGAATTGGAAGTTATTTAGGAAAAAGAGAAATGTAAAAAAGAAAAGCGGAAGATGTTTATGACTCAATCTAATAGATTATGAATAAAATGAGTTCCTTTATTTACCTGTCTTTATAGAAAATAAAAATCTTAAATTAATAACGAAAATAATAATTGTAAAATAAATGAAATATTTTGTAAAATAAAAATAATAAATTGTACAGAAACTAAAACTTTAATAACAATAAAAGGCGTCAAAATGACATTAAAAGTCTTCATACCTTCCATTTAATTAAAACTATCTCCACATGTATTAATTTTTGCTGGTCTTTCTTTCCTTTAAAATCATTATCCTTTTGCATTTCGAACAATAATTCTTGTCATTGACAACTTTCCTCATCTGTGAATAATCTATTACTGCTTTTTCCTTACCTATACCTCATGATTATAAAAAGAATTCAGTTTTAGGAATCCAACAAAAAGAATTATATTTATAGTACAAAATATAGACCACGAATATAATATATTTCATTGAGTTAAAAATAAAACAATAATTCAAAGTATGTCTAAAAAAACACATGCATCATTTAATGTCTATTAGTAATTCTAGTCTTTATCGAACTGCATTATTAGAGATAAACTTGGTAACGTGTTTGCTATGTCTTATTAATTCGATCGGAATAACGGTTCCGACACAACAGAAATAATTAACCATTGATTGGCTGATTTTTCGACTGCAAACACCGGTATAATTAGAAGATGAATAAAAATTATATGGAACGACTTATTTCGCAATAGACAAAAATATACTGTAACTTATACTGTTATATTTTAATAGAATTATATTGAGGAATCTTCAAATGCATGTACCAAAAATGAAGTAGTATGTATCGGAAGATATAGTTAACACGTTAAGCGCCGTGTCGTTCATCGATGATTGACGCCATGAAATGTAACAAGTTACAATTACACTTTGATATTTCAAAATAAAAAAGATAAAATCATGAAAAAAGTGGAATATGTAGCCTAATTTTTAATAATATTAATAAATACAGTACAAAGATGCAATAGTTATTTTAATGGAGTTTGTTGATACATGTCAAGCGGGATGAGATTTTCAATTGAAAATATCACAAAATGTTACTCTCGTAGTCCAACTTCTAGCATTTTTCCTTCCAAATTGTTTCCTATTGTCATCGTAATGTTTCTTGTAAAATTCCGGGGTGCAGATACTCGTCCACCTTTTTGTGTAATTAGTGACGTGACTTTTGACGTTTGCTCGTATTAACATTAATGATATTACAAGTGACGAATTAACTCGCTTCACTGATCAACAGGTTAAATTCTTCTTAAATTGTGAATATGATAATTTATAATGATAATACGCTTACCAGTGGTATAATTCTTCTAGATCCGTCATTTCCTCGAGTCTCCCTTTTAATGTAAAATCGCTATCGAATAAGGAAAGTACCAACGAATCGTATTTTCAGTTTTTCCCGGTTATTACATTGGGAATTCGTCAACAATAAACAATAAAATAAAATAACTTAAAGATAAATTATAACGAGTGATACAATTTTGATGTTTCTTTCCTGTCACGAATTTGTAAAACATAACACACAGGTCACATTTGTTTGTACTCTCAAATGATCGTCATAACGATAAAATCGATCGCAAGTTAATAATACTTAATCTCGTTTAGTTTATGACCCTCGCGTATATTTGGTACTATCGCCATGAAAATTTAAATTGTTTTCAAAAGTCTACACAGAAACCGTGCAATGTAGCGCCAAACGAACGAACTTCTGAAACCCTTGTCAATGGCAAAGTCTGACGTAGTTACGGTGCGTGCTATTTTGTCAACAACTTTTGACTTTAGTCAGTTTCTGCGGTTTTGCCCCATCGAAATATTTACATCTTTTTTTTTAAACCGTCGGCATTTTCTTCGTAAAACTTAATTTTCTCTTTTGGAAGTCAAGTACTATATAGATGCTTTTGTTAATACTTATAAATTTGTGAGAATGTTTTGTTTATATTCGACATTCTGCTTACATAATATGAAGTAAACTTTCTTTTAATTTTTGTCGAGTCGGCAGATCGATTTGATGCCTTAAAATTTATTGTCAGAATAAATAATGTATTTACGTCACTGTATTTTTCGATACAGGATAATGAAATATTTTTCTCCTTTTGTGTATATACCTACACCAACAAAATTTGTACATATCTACATGTGAGTAAGATATAAGAAATGTGTAACGTTGTGATAGCGTGGATCACTTGTATGTACATATATTGTTAACAATAATTTAAACTTTTTTATAACTTTTTTTGTGGTTAGTTCTGTAGCTGTAGAATATGGCGGGGAAGGTGATGTGATGACAAAAAGATCGACAAAGCAAGTATATTGGCAAGGTTGCTTATATTTGATGCTATCGAAAGAGTCACTTTCGAATTTCAAAAACGATCGACCTTACAATTAGTATTATAGTAAACTGATTGATCGAGAAAATATCTTTTTTCTAAGGCTACATGCAGAAATTTTTACATCAAAAACTTTGTTTCATCATTGTTTTCAAACTCCTACTCATCAGTTTTTACAAAAGCATTATTATTATCAATGTGTATTCTATTGTTTTTGATAATGTTAATATTATACTTATTATTCAAATGTCCTATACGCTAAGTCCTCAATCTTCAACTGTGTTCAAGAACGTGCTAATTGAATTCTAACAGTAAGTTTTTGTCTAATTCATAAACCTTATTTTCATTTACATACATTCAAATCGCCTCAATTGCCGAAACATTCTAATGAGAATGAAAGTGAAAGCAAAATTGTATCACAAGATCTAATTATCTTGTTCAAAGTATTAATTAGAAGAAAATTATCTGCGATTTCATCTTTTGATAGTGAAATGCACATTAAGTGACTCTTGCATTCAAGCCGTTTTATTCATTAAGTCAGATGAATTGAGTTCTCAATCGGGCCGCCAGAACTCCTTTGGAAATTACATTCCTAGACAGCGGTCGTTATTCTGGAACTAGGAATTTTTTCGCGGTATCATTGCTCGTCACGAGGTTCGTTTAATGTCAGGCCGTAAGGACAAGTAATTACGTGCCCCTTATCGTCGACTCAATTCATGAGACCACCAGACGGCAATCAGAGTGATGAGTGATAGCAAACAACAATTACTACGCACAGACTGTAACAAAAACAGAGAATTGGGCTGTTGATGCTGGACGTAGGATGAACAGTATTTTGTCACTTCAAAGTGAAAGAATGTTGCTTGCTTGGAACTCTTAATGTTGCATATCTACCGTATATCACTGCATATATACATGAAGTATTTTATAATTGGTCAACAATTTTTACTGGTAAGAGCAGGCTCGGATTACGATTTTTAGTGGCCTGGGGTATTAAACCTTGAAGGGCCCGCTTGGTTGATAAGCGTAGGGGGAGGGGGGAGGGCACAAAAATATCGTAATGCAACATACAATAAAATACATTAATCTTGAAAAATTGAAATTTATTGTAAGTAAAATTAAATATCATTTAATCCTAACGAACGCTTGAGTATAACGAACAATGCTTTATTATATTTTAACAACTTTCATTCGATTTGTTTCTACATTTAGTACAATTTTTAATTGTTTCAAAAGGGAAACAGTTAACAAAATTTCATTCAATTGTTTTTTGACAAAACCGGAAGGTATAAACCGGGGCCCCCCTTGAAAGTGAAGCTCGGGGCTGCAAACCCTCCGCCCTTTATTCGGTACTTGGTAGGAGAAGTTCAGAATACAGTTGATGTAATTAGTTTCAATATAGGCGCATGCAAATGTGAATATGAATTTAAAATATGGAATAGTAATTTTTTCTGCGTATTTATACCTGAAACAAAATTAAATTTTAAGCTGAAATAACGACTTATGTAATATTTTTGCGGTACTATGTTGTTCATTTAAAAACAATGTCGAACATTTTAGACACAATAGACCACATACAGGCAACGCCAAAATTTGAAGTGCTTCAACAGCACTTTGGACTTAAAACATTTGATACAGTTGTTGAGAAATTAGATCTCAATATGTTTGAATTAGAAATGATTTACATGTCAGATCTTTTGAATCTAAAACGATTCGTATGTATTGGGTCTTTGTACCCAGTAATTTTTTGTATTCAAGGGTTTTGAGTATGTAAGAAATTATACTGACTTCATGAGTTTAGGATTGTTTATTGAGTATAGGGCAGTTTCTATAGGCTCTGTCAAGTCTGCTCTCGTCTATACAATGTGATATTGTGTTTAAGGCTCTGATGGATTTATAATTGTGTATGGAGACTCTGTACAGTCTATGCCGGTTATATTAAATTTGGGGCTTAGATAGGTTTGGTCATGTTTGAGATGATTTGTATAGGATTGTCATAGCATTTTTCTGGCTTTGTTGGGTGTCATATTGTTCATATTGATTCTCTTGAAACCAGCTGATCTATAATTGGCTTTGGGAGATTTCGAGGGATAATCTAATAAAAAGTTGCATAAAATCGAATGCAGGTTTTATTTTAAATATTTGGAATTTGATAGAACCTTTAATACAGTAAATACGTTTGTGTTTGACTCTAGTATCTAAATTAATTTTGAAAAGTCGATATTTGTATAAACATTCGCAGTTTACTTAGGAGCCTCTAACAGTATATAGTCACAATCTTTTTTCGATTATGCGTAGCTACTACAGACTACTTCATTAGATTAAAGCGGTAAAGTTTCTGTGCTATTACATATTTAATTCGACGAATAGGAACAATGTATATTTGTAAAATGCAATAAATAGTATCCTCTATATCATTAATAAAATAATAAATGTCTAAGTAACGTATAACAAAGTGGAACACTTGGCGTAAACGCTGTCTGTATATAGGTACTTATCAAGACTAACTTGTAACTCGTAACACGTAAACATGTTATGGCATAATAATTACGCTCTTATAAAAAGGCAACAACACAAGTGAGCATTAAGTAGAGGTAGAGAGCTTGTGTTCTATGTTTAATGCAATGGTAACTGTGGGCATCACAATAAGATTAATAGGACTAGGACATGACAGAGGACCGAGGTCCCATTGACACTTTGTTTTACAATGCTGTATGTATCCGTTTTGTACATTTTCCATCTTAATTTAGGCCTTATTAACGAGACTTCATTTCTTGTTTCACGCAGCTAGTAAACGCTTGAAAACCTTCGCGTCGTTGTTGCGACTGTAAAATATGATAACAAGTATACGTTATAAAAATAATATAATAAAAAAGAATAAAATTAAGTGACGTGAAGACTTCTAAGTATTCGAAATGGTAATTGGTGAAAAGGAACACTATATTACCACCTACAACTTTATTTAATCGGTAATGCAAGTTTTTGCATTTCAACCTAAAATTTACTTTTATAAAAATTACAGCAGCTAATAATGTGCTCAACATTTTGATCTAAAATTTCATCGGAAGTTGAAAGTATCTGTAAAAATATGACAGCTTCTAATAAAGAATATAACAAGAATACGTAATTCTGCCTGACTGATGAAAATGTGTTAGTAAATTCTTTTATGCCAGTTAATGATGTAATCTAACATAATATTCTCTCTAAACTTGCTTAGCTGTAAGTAAAATTCAAATGGTAGCGGTAATTAACGTGTTCACAATATGCATATGCCATTGAAATATTCATTAAACGAAAACAAGAGATTTAGATTAACGGAGAATAATATGCTATTCATATTTGTACTATTATAATGCTATATGGTTTATAAACATGGCTCAAAGTGCTGTCTATTACAAAAGTCTAATCTTTCATAAGTCATGGAATTCTACAAATTTTACGATTATAGTGGTAACAATACTAGTTTTAAGATTCTCCACCGCCATGTATTTTCTACCAACCCAACAATTAGATGAACATAAGAATAACGCGAGTCAAGTGATTCGTGTGTATCACTTGAGTATTTCTTATTTCTCTTAATACCTTAAAACCTCGATGAAGTCGATCTTTCATTATTGCGATAAACTCTTTGTAGGATAACTGGCCGTCGCCATCTTCGTCGAATAGCACGAATACCGTGTCTATTAGGTGATCTGAGAGCACACTACCTGTACATATCTTGACGGCGCGTTGAAATTCATCTGGAACATAAATCAAATTTGTTACTTAGATATTTTAGCTGAACTGCTTTCAAGTTCATAGATTTCTTGAGGAAGGATTAGCTTTTCAAACCTTTGGAAATTGGGTAGTCTGCCAAAGTGTACATTCGCATAGCTATTGAGAAGTCGTCGATATTATTCAAGAATTGATAAAAACGTCGGAACTCCTCAAATGTGATGCCGATTTGAAGTTCTGCGTTTTGTAGTATGCGGTCCAAATACTTGTCGTATCTACAAACACCAAATTTATGGAATATTGAATGGGAAACTGATACATATAGTTTAAAAATCATTGAACGTCTTCATTTTGGGGAAAATTGATCTTGCTGTTGAATACAATTTGATTGATAGTAATCACTGACTGTTTGTATTTGTTATATGAGAGTTTTGTTAGTTTTTCATGATTCTTAATTATTCTTAAAGCATATTCCAGTAACTTCCAATGAAGTTGGAAAAAATTCATAAGAAATGAAAGTAGATTGTTTTTATTTTAATAAAAGCATTTAAAAACGCTTACTATAACTACAGTAAGTGATATAATATCATTCAGAAATTAGACATAGAATCCCAAAAAATGGATTTTGGCTGAGTACACAGGGTGTCTCATACTGAACGTCTAAATTGTCTACTGGTATTGAATACAAGAAAAAGTGACTAAGAGTAGTTTATACGGTTTTAAGGCGTATACCTATTTTATATAATGCAGCGTTGTAATCGACATTAAGACGTGTTCAATAACCTGTGACACGATGACCTTCAAATAGCCTTAAGCAGTAAGAGATCAATATTGAATCATTTCTCTATTCCTGGCCAAAATTAATTGGTACCAATTTGTTCCTCGCATGTTAGCCGTTTCTATGGAATAATACAGAATGTAATATGCAAGAAATCTTTTCATGACCTTGAAATAACCTTCGAGATGATCAAGGGAGACTTTTTTTATAATCTCCAGATGTTCGTCCTCAAACCATATAAACTCCTGTTAGTCATTTTTTTTACTGTCAGTACTAGTAGAAACAATTCAGATGTTCACTAGAAGTAAGACACTTTATATGTACCCTCTCAAGCAAACTCGACTTCCGCTAGGGGAAAAAGTGGCGTAGGAAAAGGGCCTCCTACCACTTCGTAAATTTATTTTTGCTATTGAAATAAATGTTAAATCGTATGTTAATTTGGCATAAATTTCAGTAATTCCCAATACCAAGTGGTAGCAGGTCCTTCTTCCGCGTCACTTTTTTTCCTAGTGGAAGCCGACTTTGCTCGTAAGAGTATGTGCGCCTTACAAAAACTTTAAAATCGTGTTTTTACCATCAATCACCATTTCAATGGGCGTATTTTGATTAGTTAGCGATGGAAAACATACTCGTCAGTGTCGAAATAGGTGTATCGCAGCAATATTTTTGCAAAGTCTAATTCAGTGATGGTGTCTCGGCCTTTACTATATTCATGGAACTCGAGCTCCAGAACTTCTTGCTGTAGATTTTCCATGAAACACTTGAAGTCTTCGTACTTCAGCTCAACGTTGCCATCCTTTCCAAAGAAATGTATCATTAAGCTTGTATCTACGGCGTGTCGACGTTGCAGGCCCTGTAAATCATAAATGCACAATATGTAATAAATGGATTTGTGCTTAGTGTATATTTATAAATTGATAGCAAAAACTTTGTTTCTATATTTCTTGATTTTGACTGACATCAATCAATATTTCGTTGTTCAACTAACATCTATATTATCATTGAAATACGTATAAGAATAAAAAGAATTGGTTTAAACAAATGCTATCAAGCACTAGTGATATGAAAAGAACACTAAATTTTTATATATTGGGTATTTTAAAATTATCATTGTTACGAATATGAAAATGAATCAGAATATTATCGGTTACCAGCTGCAGATTTGAAAAGACGTTATATTACATCATTGACTATCAGTTATCAATATGAAAATATGTGGTAACACGTCTTTATTCACAAGAATATTAAAAAAAGGCCATAAAATAAGTCGTGACAACACATATGCTATGTCTCCGATTGATAGTAATTCTCAAAGGTAGGTCTTACGCGTGTATCCACTTGCATCTAATTTATTTTGAACGAATGAATGAATAATTTGAATTTGTGTCTTTAATATTTATTAAATATAACAGTGAATAATGTTTTGTTTTCTTTTTTGTATTGTCAAAGAAACCGAAGCTTAACCAGTGTTATAGAGGGTAAAAATGTGGGACACTTTCATAAGATAGATTTTACATAACAAACTAACTCGAAAATAAAGAATGACGGAATTACGTTCAAGGCTTTGTTTCCAAGTTATTAATTTTTTTAAATATCAGCAAAATACGCGTAAAATAGGTCTGACACAATGGGTTATACTACTAGCTACAACTGACTTAGCTAGATTTATTGACTTAGTGAAATCAATGAATGAAACCAACTCGTGAAACAGTTGAAGAACGCGCTACTCGACGTATTTTTCGAGTGTTTCGCCCGTATTTTTAATAATTAGTAACTATGAAACGCAGCCTCGAATGCAATTTAATCATTCTACATTTTCATCTTAGTTTGGCATGTAGAATTCACCTTGAGAGTCTTCCATATTTTTATTAACACCCTGTAGAGAGACATGATGTTCGGCAGTTCGAACACCGTTATTAAAGACGAGGAATATATGTATTTAAAATTGAAATTTCAATTCTAATTGCAGAGCTATTAAGGACAAGTACTGGATTATTGATTAAGAGTTAATCTAAAACGCACCTGTGCATCGTCGATATATTGAACTTGGATTTCCTCCGGTGTGGATTGTCTTTCGGTTAAATGCTCCAAGTTTTCTTTGGTTTCGGTACCTTGGCGGCCCCTCCAAGCGTGGCTAAATACCTTTTCCATCTGAGCGAGACAAGAGAGAAAAAGTGCGATCAGAGGTATGAACTTTTCGGTAAGGGGGTGGAACCTTCACAATAAAACATACAGGTGGATTTGCATAATAGAGAGGCAAAATGGCAGCAATGATTTCAGCATCCAGTGCTAATGAGTCTGAAATAAATGGCAAGAAAGTTAGCACAGCAGCGATTAATATGAAGGCACACGTATCACTTTTTTTTTTAAATTACAGTCTTTCAAAAAGTACACTCTACGCAATTGCACACACCATTAGAAAATTATTGGATTATGAATAAATAAATTTTCGTCTTAGAATTCATTTCTATTAACTGGACTTAATTAATTAATTAATTTTGATGCAATCTAGCATTCGACTAGTAGGTTAATGTGTTTCGAAATCAATTCTTACTTACCCATCCCTAGTTTCATAATATTATTTAGAATCTCTTAAGAATGAATTTGTATTATACAAAATTTCTTTAATAATTTCTGTTTTCGACGTTGTGAATTTGATCAACGAGTACAATATTTTATTTACATATATAATAAGCGAAAATATTAGTCTTTTGCTTAAGTGGATACGTATTTCGATTTTATTATTCCGTACTTTTGGTTTGGAAATTTATGTTAAGATACTGAATTTAATCTGAACGCAATTGTACCATACTTAAACAGGTGACACATATCAATTTCGATATCCGAAATAAATAATGAAACATTCTTGTTATATGAAATATTTAAAATATACAATGAAGTGCAAATTTTGATGTGTTCTACGCATCAACTATTAATATGGCAACTATACAGTATAACGAGATAGTTAACTCTGCGATTTTAATTATGCCCATTATAAATTACAAGATGAACAATTAATATTTATGAAACAAAACGTATGCAATGTTTCGCCGTATTACTTTTCATATTACATATTAAGAAAATCATTTACAAGTAAAAGAAAGTTTAATTTTTTATAGGTAGTTTGATTATTCTTAAATTTAAATGAATTATTATTACTGAGATTATTGACGCATAAACATTAAAATATTATAATTTCGCGAGTGTTATTTATATTAATTGTACGCATACAGTAGTATGTTACTGAAATAATTATTCGTTTCATTTTCTAGCAATTTTTCGTTATTGGTTAGAAAAAATTAGTAATCGTAGTAATTGAAATCGTAATAAAACTGAAAAGCCAAAATAAAAACTAAGAAAAAACTTTTTAAAAAAAGGAGAAGAAACAACAAACAAATGCTCAAACGTTTTCGTACATGTAAAACTTACGTAAGAATTAGAGACAATCTCTGTTCCGTTTTTCTCCTGACCGTTACGAAGCTTCGGTATTTCAATGAATTCCTGGTTCGGTGTGATAATGGTATTCAACTAATACATTCAAATAAATCATCGAAATTATGAACGATATTAACTACAAGTACTAAATCAACCAAATCAAAATTTGCGTAACACAAAAAATGTAAGCTTCTCAAATGTTTGTAAGGTTAAAGCAAAAGTGAAAATGAAAGTAATGAACAAACGGCACAATATAAAATAAAACAATTCTAAGCGACAAACTGAACAGAAAGACGAAGAACAGAAACAACAAGGAGAATATAAATGTAAACGTACTGTAACGAATTTTTATAAAAAACAAATATGACCCCTGTCAAGAAATATAGGATAAAGAAAAGAAGATAAGTATCTTCATTTATAATTGAAAACTTTCATTTATCCGCTTTACTACTTATAATTTCAATGTTTGGTACGAACATTCTTTTATTATACAGGGTGTTTATAAACATTCGTTTATTATCTTAGACGTTGTTGATGATATAGAAAAATGTTTCAGATAAAAGTTGAATGGTTTCGGAGGGAAATAATTTGATGTAAGTATTTTTTTATAGTTGGACTCGTAGAGGACATTATGAAGGTCATATATATTTTTTTTAATGCAATTACACATTTTTTAATGCACTAGTCGATGCTGCTAGTCATTTCCTATAAAGAAGTCTTAAGCTATTTATGCTGAAAGAAAAAATTGAAGTTGATTTTCAAAATGGGGTGTTAGATGTTGCAATTTTGGAGTTAAAATATCACCTGAACTAACGACGTTTCGGCATAGGTATCTTAATACTTTTTTATAGGAAATGATGAGCTACATCGACTAATGAGTTAAAAAATATATATTTTCATCGAAGAAAACAAATTTGACCTTCATATGTCCTCTACGCGTCCACTTACAAAAAAACTACTCACACCAAATTATGGCCCCCTTGAAATTATTCAATTGTTATCTGAAACATTTATCAGTATCATCAACGGTTTCGAAGACATTCGAGGGGATTGATTTAAATATTAAGTAACTCTTATTATTATAGTAGAAATGTTAGTGCTGTGTTCAAACTGGTCAGATTAATTTCTGCGAGCAGAATCAATTAAATGTCAAAGTGTAGATTATTTAGGGGCAAGGACAGCAACGTGAATAATGGTGTAACATTGATTACACCGTCAAGCGAATTGCGAATTACGCTGTTAAGTTTCGTTAGACGCGAAAGGCATAGCCGTTACGGGTTTCCGACAAAGCGATTAGAAAGAATCGGTGCGACGTTAATCGTGGCCAGCCTCGAAACTGGATTCGTTTTTTTCTTGTCACGAATTATACGAAAACTCACTGCACGTTTCGTCTCTTCGTCGAGGTGTCGATTCTTCAGTGTGCCACCGAGCAGTCGTCGAATCTGTGAAAATTACAAAACGTAGCAGAAGGAAATTGGGAAACGCCATTGCGTCTCATAGTCATCTTCGTCGGACAATATCTTCCCTTCCTCGAGCCTATCATTTACTCTCGCTGACGCATCATCGACAAAAGTCACATTCTTCTCATGTTGTATTTATTTATACTATCGCTCATAAATATTCGGACAGTCGCAAGGGAACTTCGGTGACCCGAAAATTTGAATTTTCGGTCAGGTTCGTAAGTAGGTGATTAAAAAGATCAATCAAGGATCATGGTGTCCAGAAAAAATGAAAGAAGATGGGATACAGTGCAATGTCTGCGGAGAGTGGTTTCACGAGAATTGTAGTGATAGAGGTGGTGTTAAAGGATACTATACTTGCGATCTATGCATCCTGCACTCTATGTGTTGATTTGCTTACCTATTTATTTAAACAACAAATTGTTCACACTTTCATTGTAAGTTGTACAGAGCACAGAAAGTCATTAAATTTTCATTTTAACAATTATTTTAAGGTTTACTATAGTTTTCAAAATATACAGGAAACTAGGAAAAGATACATTAACCTTCGAGGGGTGTGTGCACCATGAAGAACGAAACGTTAAAAAAAAATTATCTGATATTTCTACTGTGGCCCCTACAAACCTACGAAGTTTTAAAAAAATCGGAATTTTCGGGTTACCAAAGTTCCTTTGTCAGTAGGTACATAGTATAATAAATTTTAATAAAGTGTGTAAAGTACTAACTATAAGCAATTTTTTAAATAAAATATACATTAAATACACGATTCACCACCGTATTTGCCGGTTTTGAACATTTAATAACTCATTTTCCGAACTACTCTCAGTAGTTTTTCTATCAATTTTTTAATTATCTTTGATCGAATTTCTGTTCTAAATCAGAAGGACCTTTTTATGTTTACTAATTTAGAAATTAAACAATCTGAAGACAACTGTACTATCATTGTAATATCCTTTATTTATTACTTAAATTACTTCTGTTAAAAATAAGGAAATGTCTGGATATTTTTGAGCAATAGATGGTATTCAAAATTTGTATCTATCATTTTAATAATTTCATGTTAACATCTTCAAAACTAATGGACATTGAAAAAAAAATTCATACAAACTTTGTTGAAAACAAAAATTCATTTAAAGCAGTTTACCATATACATATGTAGATATTAGAGAACGCTTAGCAGGTCTTTTAATTAATATATATAATCTGTATTTAATAACATCAAAATATCTTGAACACAATAAGAGAAAAATTTATGAAATTGAATAACATTTCTGTATGTATTATCTTCACCTTTATGAAAATTTTACTGAAGGGAAATTTAATTTTCTATTTAATTTCTGCTTTTGTAAATTAATCTCTGAAAACGTTAATTTGCATAAAGATTCGCAATCTAACGATAAATGATGAGTGTTAAATGCACTATTAACGAATTGCTTGCACGCCTCTTATAGTTTGAAATAAAACGGGTAACCGTACAACAGACATACTCAGCCAGCATGAAACTGCAGTGTTAATCATGCAGTCGATTTACATCGATACATTAAAAGCTAGTGGTAATGTTATTACCGTGCGCGATATAATTATAACCAGCGTGGAAAAAATGAAATCAAATTGAATACGAAGCGTATAAGGAATAAACTTTACTTTTTTTTTTAGTACACCTGGGCGCTTCTAAAGTGAAGGTGATACATACATGTTTAATATTAGGTATTGTCTCCAATAAAATATGATTTTAAAGTAAAATTATAGTACTTTATTTTCACCATGGATGCATTTTAATTCACAGTTTATTAAAGAATTATTTCAAATAATACCTTTTATCGATTTTAACTGTTTAACGATTTTAACTTTTCCCAAAAGTTCTTTTGATGTACGGAATTTGAAACACTATTTAAAATGTATTATTTTGTATTATAATTCTCTTCTGAAATTACTGTATATTTTTTCTAATTTAAAATTAGCCCAAACGTGTACTCATGTCACGATTAATGAATGGTTTTGCGTGTTTTAGAAAGAAAACGAATTCTATGCTGTTCTGTCCCAATTAGATGGGATTATGCTATATACTACATATGATCAATAACAGACTTGAAACTTTATAAAAAAAATTGATACGTGCAAAAGTATGAGAAACAATGGTCTTACCACAAGGAATTCAGTTTTGTCCACGCGTTCATTTCCGTCAGTATCGAACATGTTAAACGCTATTTGGAAACCTGTCTTAGGTTCTGAAATAAAATTCCACTCGGTCAAGTCTCGAGTCACTTCGGCAACAAAAATCACACGTTCTGTTAATGTGTTGAACGATGGAATTAATGAGTACTTACTGATCAGAATGGACAAGAGAAACAAGTATTCCGTATAGGAAATAATTCCTAGAAACAACGAAAAGAATCATTACTATTGGTGTCCATATTGTTAGAGTACTTTGTAAAAGAAAAGTGTTTCATAAATATTATATTTATGTATATACCAGTAATTTAAAAAATTATTTATTTTGAAATTAATGTTAACATTTATGAAACACCTGTCTTTGTTATTTAAAATATTACAATCTTTATGACATTTGATTAATCGATTGTTACTCTTAAACTCGATTTAATGAACTTAATAGACTTGGTGAATCATTCTGGCTGTTTGGATGTTTTTGTCAATTACGACGACGTGACCCACCATATTTGTGGACAGTTTCTCTCGTTAATGTTACCTCCTTAACCAACAAAGTGATTAGATAATGGAAAATAGTAAGGGGTAAACTTTCGAAAAGCACCCGTACCCGATGACCTTGATCTTGACACATGTTATCAAGATCCTCCTGAGTAACCTTCAAAAGGTTTAAAACCGTTGATCTTTGGTTATTAAAAAGTTATAAACAAGAAAATGTTTGAACTGTCTCTAACCAACTCCGATCCGTATAATGCTTCCAAAAATATTTCAGAGTTGGTTAGGAAAAAGTTATCATTATTATCACCGCGGATTTTTGGTGAAATTCAACGACGAAATAAGCAAGTATTTATTCTACCAGTTTGTTTTTTAACTGGCTCTAACTCCGATCAGTATAATGCTTTCAACAGTACAGTTTTTTATATTTTAACTAGCTCTAACCAACTCAGATCAGCATAATGCTTTGACCAGTAATTTTTAAAGACACTACGATACAAAAGTTTAGATTTCTGGGAAAATTACGGTACATTTTTCAATCTTTCTTTGTTCATAACTTTTTAATAACCAATGACCGGCGATATAAACCTTTAAGAGTTATTCAGGAGAGGATCTTAATAACATATGTCAAAGTTAGGGTCATCCGGAGTAGGTGCTTTTCGGAAGTTGACCCATAATAAGTAGACAGTTACAAGTATATGTTCATAGACTGTTAATCTTTTGACCTGTTTATAAAAGTATTTATAAAATCCCACCTTGCTGTCGTACAGCAGTAGAAAATACTTACATGAATTTATAAAAATAATATTAAGCCTCATCTGACGGAGGCCAGGTCCATTCGGACCCAGTCGCGTGCCACTTATTTCAAAGTCACGATCGTTTTTCGTTGAAACCGAATACTTTAGTTCGTTTGAAACTGAACATTTTTAATCGTTTGAAACAAAACACTGCCCCACCCCGACCCCCTGTCTTCAGCGCATTACGAGCGTCTAAAACAGTTTGTCTTCAGGGACCAATATTACGGCGAGTAAAAGTTTTTTGATTTCAAATTGTCGAAGAAATGGCTTAGCTGACTACGATATTAATGTTAAAATCACATGTGTGCTATACATACAACAGTAGAAAAAAAATGTGCTAAAACAGAATAAATATTATTCATTTGTACGTCTCGTTTACACTTTCTTGTCACTACTGATAATAATGAGTTCATAATAATAATATCTTTTTTAGGGAAGAGATATGAAAACATAATGAAACAAAAATTCTAACGTAATTTCTTATTGAAGGAGGTATTGACTTATCAGTTAGCGGTTCGTTTGGATGCGGTATCCACCGCGCACGTCAGTGTATCCTCACGAGCAAACTCGGCTTCCGTTAGGGGAAAAAGTGGCGAAGGGGAGGGCCTGCCTCCACTTGATAAATTTATTTCAACTACTGAAATAAATGTTAAACCGAATGTTAATTTCGCATAATTTTCAATAACTCCGAGACCAAGTGGTAGGAGATCTTTCCCTTACATCACTTTTCCCCCTAGAGGAAGCCGAGTTTGCACGTGTACACTGACGTGCAAACTCGGCTTCCACTAGGGGAAAAAGTAACGTAGGAAAAGGGCCCCATACTACTTGGTATAGGGAGTTATTGAAATTCATGCCAAATTTACATTGGATTATTATTTATATCAGTAGTTGAAATAAATGTATCAAGTGGTAGAAGGCCTTTCTCCCACGACACTTTTTCCCCTAGTGGAAGCCGAGTTTGCTCGTGAGTGTACACCGATGAGCAAACTCGGCTTCCACTAGGGGAAAATGTAACGTAGGAGTAAAGGCCTCCTATCGCTTGATAAATTTATTTCAAATACTGAAATAAATGTTAAACCGAATATTAATTTGGCATAAATTTCAGTAACTCCAGAACCAAATGGTAAGAGGTCTTTCCCTTATATCACTTTTTCCCTTAGTGGTAGCCGAGTTTGCTCGTGAGGGTACATAGTAAGAACCAAGATACAGCAAGGTCGTAAACTGAAGGATGTATCCAACATTCTGTTGCAGGGTTCAACACAATAAAAACATGGCAATGTAGGACTCACGGTATTATATTTACAAGTAAAAAGAAACTGTAATATCAATTACTATTTAAAAAATTTAGAGTTTCTTTCTGGATAGCCATCGATGTGTCATGAAACTCATTTGAACGGCAGAGCTAAATTTGCTAGCTGGGTTTAACCCTCTTCCCCTCCAGAAACGTCTTACAGGGAAATACCCTAATTTGTCCTGCCTGGAGTAATTAGTAAAAATATCAAAAGCAGTTTGAATTCCGAGCTATGAACCTCGTATAAAACAATCCATCGATCGAGAGTTAAAACCGGTAGAAATCACGTTTCCCTCTGATAAAGATCATTCTACACATCCGACGATAATTCTCATCAGCTGCATGCCGGGTATATTAAATTTCATTTTCATTGCCAGACACACCCATTACACCGAACAATTATCAATCGAGAACCGGCTTTTGAATAATTGACATCAGCCCAAGAATATTAAATCCATTCACAACGAAAATGATGTATCGCCACTGATGCATGATTCCTCGGTTTTTGTTTACGACGGCAACCACGACAAAGTCCCGCATTAATTTTCTCGGTAATCACGTTAACTCTGACCGTGACAAGTTGCAACAGAGACCGGTTAGTAAGTAGTGACGATCGATATTAGTTACGCCCCATAGAGTCCTAGGCATTTTTCGGCCATCCCTTTTGTCTCTCTATCTCTCTCGCGGTCCGATAGAACGGGTCAATAATTCAGAGTCTTAACCGCGGACCCTACGTGTAGGAGATCCTGGAGTTATCGAAATTTTCGTTCGGCGGTGCACACCACCCTCGCGTGCTTTCCCTTTCTGACCGACGTCAAATCGATTTTATTGCGCTATAAGCACTCCATAAAACGGTTTCACGGGCCCGAGGAAAGTTTACGAAGTGGGAAAAGCGAAGAAACCGGGTCGAAGGAAACGAACGACGCGAGAGCACCGTTGCTGACGACACGTTTCTCTCGTCAGCAACGCCGTTTCGGATTAAGCCGCCACGGATGGAGCTATTCGACGCACGATGTCGGCGAACATCAGACAAATTCGAGATGTCTTTCTCTCTTCTGTTTCTCTTTTTTGCGGGAGGTTGTTCATATTTTTAAGTTAATTTCGTTTACAGCGAGTGATCAAATTATTACAGCCACCTGCATAAATTGACCATGTTACGATTTGAACTATATTTTTTGTAATTACATAAGTTTAAGTTTCTGTATCTTTTTGTGAACAATTCTTAATTCAAAATTATTCAATGGTATAACCTTGGTATTGTGATTTTATTACTACTTAAACACAAAAGTATATGTATATATTTCATATTGAAGCTCTAATAATTTCATGTGTATGGGCTAAACTTTTTGGTAGGAAAATAAAAAGAGTATATCAGTTAAATATCTAGTAACAATAAAAAAATTAATATACCGTAAGTTGGGCTAACTTTGACTCCAGTCAGGGGTAACTTTGTTCCAAAGTCAGACAATGATCATTTTCGATTTTGCAGCTATCTTCCAGGTATTTTTACGTGAAATACCTTTTCACGTAAAAATCATCTTAATTTAACAATTTTAAGACCTGCAAATTCGAAAATGATAATTTTCTGACTTAAGACGAAGTTACCGTGACTGAATCAAAGTTACTCCACCTTACGGTACTGAATATATAAAAAACTGGAAAATTATTTAACGAACACATTTCAGAACGTCTGAATGCTGAAACACAATTGTAAAAAGTTGAAAATATGATATAAATTACAGAATCTTGTGTCAGATTTACTGCAATCTAAAATCAACAGGACCAACATGGACGAGTCTAGGTTCAACAAATTAGTCGAGAGATTCAAAGAGTACCTACCAATCGAGGATTGGGGGAAGCAAACCGACAAATTGTGGACTTTAGATTTCAAGTCTCAAAATTCGGGTTCTTTGACGTCTAATTGGTTCATCTCCATATGTTAGATTTCTCAGCCATAAATTATGTCAAGTGAAATTAGAGTCATCTAATTTTTTTGATTTCGTAGTACCTTGAGAATGTAGGTACGTATACGCAAAGGCCTTCTTGATGTTTCTTGAACATCTACCGTTGGCTTTTCCACGAAGCATTTTCACGCATGACCAATTTGTTCCACAAACTCTAAGCATTGGTTCTTATGCCACGTATTACAGGTTTAGTACAATTTCATGACGCTCAAATCATAGAAGAACATTTGTGTAAGATTACACATGGAACTGTACCGTTTACTTCTCCACGGCGTGCAATATATTTAACACCTCTGTTGAAAGGTAAATCGTAGGTGGACCATTCGCTCGCGAAATTTCATTCATAAAACCTCATGACTCATTCGAATCCAGGGACTCCGTTCGTTCATGCAATAAGGAAGTGACACAGCTAGTTATGGTTCGAATACGTTTCGCATAGGTGGCGAACCGATATAGGCAACAAGATGCTTTTCTGCGTAGCCTCCAGTGCTGTACTCTTCGTCCCATAATCGTAACAAGTGTCCTTAAAGCGGAGTGAATCAAGTTAGGCCTGGGTATGGTCTCGACCGTGAAATTCTGGCTGGCGGACTTACGTATAAGCGACTCGGTCTCGGAATAGAAACAAAGAGAGAGATAGAGAGAGAGAGAGAGAGAGAGAGAGAGAGAGAGAGAGAGAGAGAAAGTGTGGGATACCGAGGGCGACGGTGCTCGTTTATTAAAGAGAAGTGTGAAACTGGCTTCGCGCGCGATTATTTGCATTTCCATTAGCGCGACAAACGTGCGGTGAACGCGCAAAAAGCCAGGAAGAGGGCCGAACGGCTACTACGTGGACTCGTTAACGACACGGTCCCTGTTATTTCGATCGTTGCAAGGGTGGCACGATTAATTGCTCCGTTGCTGATCTCCGAGGCCTTCGGTCGGCTCTTATAGAAACTGTGATCGCTTGGAAATTTCAAGCGAGAACCTGTGTCCAAGTTCTGTATTATACAGGGTGTCCTTGTAATATGTGACGTTGGAAATCTAGGTAACTAAAAATCATCTCTAAAATGGAGGCAAATGAAGTGAATAGTGTAATTTTCATATAATACTGCCGTTCGAAAGATTGGAATTAGATAAAGATTGGAAGAATGCGACGTACTCGGTCTCGACTACTTTGGAGCATTCGTAGCAAGGCAGAAAGGTTTTCAGCCCCTCATAAATTTGTTTTTTGCTCAAAGCCGAGCTTCTGCTTTGCTTTTGTTTACTCTTTTTTTATTAGTTCCACAGGGGGACTGCCCTAGTGGTGGGAATAACACCGTTGCTTTTGTCGCATTCATCGAGGTTTCTTCATCCACTGTGTTACAATTTCATTCGTATAAATGGAGTTTCACTGTATGTATATCTAGTACTCTATTAAAAAATAAATATATGGGAATTTAATAAAGGAGTTCCATAAACATCGGGAATTTAATAAAGGAATTTAATAAATATCGGGAATTTAATAAAGGAAGATCGTAACCTAGTGTGTACCTTATACCATTCAGTGATATATAATCTTACGTACGATTTCACAAGTAATAATACTATAGTCCTTGACCTATGACATTCGAAACTGTTTTTCATTTTCTTTGACCAGAAAAAATGCGGTCGGAAAATTGTCAGACACCCTGTATAAGTACTACCTTTTACGCGGTTCACTTTGTGTCGATAATTGAATGCTAATTGACACGATTAAATGCAAAGTAGTGGACGATCGAATAGCGTAGAATGCATTAGCAAAAGAGACAATATTATAAATTTTACTGGATTTTCTTGTTTCTGGGACCAATTGTAACTAACCTTGAATTTCTAATTATTTGCATAAAAATGTGTCTCTACTCATTTTTAATACAAAATACTGAATGTTAAAATTTACATGTTTAAGAAACTAATGGATATACAAGGTGTTTCATAGCAATGCAAACTACAGGGATGAATATATCTTGTAGAAAAAACGATAAAAGTGACAATAAAGGCAACCACGAAGACGTCTGCATGTTCGAAATAATATAAAAATAAAAGAAAACATTTCTATGGACACCTATCGTTAGTTTTAGAACTCTATATCAGTTCAGCAATACCTTATACAATTACAATTGCAAATCACTACAAACATATCAGTGGTCAACGAAGCGTTAAGAATGTCGGTTCGGTGATTTCAATGCGTGGTAAGCAAACATATTACACAAATCGTAAGAATGATAAGAAAGCACTGGACATATATCACAACTAGTCAGAGACTGTTAAACTATACTCATTAGGGCTGAAATATTAATTGCTAGCTCCATGCACACAAGACTCCTAACTCATTCTGACCGCTCATTAGATTGTATCGACAAGTTAAAGAGATGCAAGGAATATTTTACAAAGCTATGTCTTCACATTGGAGAATGCTTTACAAAATACTACAAAAAATGTACATTAAGAGGTATATTATTGTTTTTAAATATATAAAGAGTCGAGAAGACATAATAATATTTGTTCATTTTACACGGTTCTATTTAGTTTACACACGTTTTATGTACGGTAATCATGTTTCACGAAAATATGACACGCAAGGCGTTAAACCTAAAATTATCCGAAGTTTCGTAAAATTTAAACAATAATGAGACTGAAATGTTATACGTTTTCCGACGCCTTTGTGAGTGATAGATGAATTCTTTTAACATTTAAAAATTAATTCCGACAAATGAAAATATTTCGATTGCTCACCTTTGTCACGAAGGTTCCTGAACATGTGTGGATTTCCATGGCGCAGCGAAGGGACGGAATTTCTCATCACTTCGAGCTCCATGTCACCTAACACACGTCTCTTCAGCCTCGCTGAAACATCACAGAAATTCATTTATTTACGTTTTTCGAGAGTGGTTGATCAAGGGAACCGTGATTTCATTACGGTGTCATTCCCAGTTTGTACTAGGACCCCTGCGTTTCAAAGAACCGTGAAAACGTTTATTCGGAATTTCCGCTTTTTATGTGGGATTGCGTATGCTGCGCAGAATGGGTAGAATAAAATATTGAATATTTCTGTGTGGTAGTATTTATATTACATTGAACGAGTCGAGACCGTCAACTGTAGAACCAGAGGAATATTTAAATAAGATATAAGTATCTTTTTTAAGAAATATATCTTTAAAAATGTTTATCGTTTTCTTTATACTGGGTGATATTACATGACATTGCTAATGTTTGAACAATTGCGATGAGTAAATTTAGTATAACCTACGCTGTTGTATTGGGTTGGTCAAAAAGCAATGTCGGATGTCTGCAATATACATACCTATGATGCTTTTTTTTATTTCAATATAAAGCACTACTCCCCACTAATAAAATATATACATATATACATATATAGAGGTTTTTAATATTCCTACAGACTAATGCTTCTTTCTTTGTAAAAATATTTTCGATGACAATTACTTAAGAAGACCTGATTGTCTATATAACCTAATCTGAACACCTCCTAGCTTAAATTAGATTTATAAGTTGATGATTTAGATGGGGCTTTTAAGAACTCGGGTTCAGAAGGACCCAGGCAACCGTCCTAGGGTTAAAAATAATCATTACAATTCGGTTTAACCTTCTTCAATTGATCTTGTTGTGAAAATGAGTGACGGGAAGGTGTATTTTCGAGCAATTATGATGTTTTTTATTTTCATTCGTCTACAACACCATCGACTGTATAGAAAATCATGTTTTGTTCTTTGTATCGCATTTTTTTCCTTTCAGAAATAAAAAAGCATAATTTCTCGAAAATACACCATCCCGTCACTCATTTTCAAAACAAGATCAATTCAAGAAAATTTAACCCAATCGTGATTATCTTTTAATCCGTTCGTTGAAGTGTCATCTTTCAGAATATGTATATATTTTATTAGTTTAGAGCAATGTTTTGTATTGACAAACAAAAACAGCATCATCTACTGTAGAAATCTGATATTACTTTTCGGCCACTCCTATACCTACTACTAAGGAGTTATAACGACATTGTTTCTTTTACTGAAAAACAAAACTAACATCATCTATTACAGTAATCTGATTTTACTAGACTGCGAATTTTATGCATTTATAGTCTATAGAGGTCTGTAAAATACAATAAAAGACAAAACATTCATCAGATCCAATAAGTTTTTTGGTTTATTCGGAACTGAATATGATACTTGAGAAAAGAAAGAAATTCCTACATTTGCTCTTTTCTGCATGAATTGCTTTAGAAAATATCATTTTGCATAAAAATCCGCAGTCTAGACATTACTTCTCGGCCAACCCAATACTATTAAGAGGTAATAATAACATCGTTCTTTTCAATGTAGTTTGTAATTATTTAATTGCTTTTTTTTTTATCACACAACGATTCTATACAAGGGAACATATGGCATCGAAGAAAGAGTTTCGGAGTTTTTTTCTACACGAATCTAGAGACTTAAACCGGTATGATATTGATACCGGTATTATGCCATCAAAGCTATACCGAAACCGAATTTTATATATTACCGAAAACCTAAATAAATACCGGTATTTTTTCGATTTCTACAAGGGTAGGGTTTATATAGGATTATATGGGGCGAAGGTACACTTGGAAGCAAACTCGGCTTCCACTAGGGAAAAAAGTGACGTACGGAAGGACCTCCTGCTATTTGGTATCGAGAATTATTGAAATATATGTCGAATTAACATTCGATATATAATACCGGTATTTTACGTTTCGGTAGAAGTCTCTGAACGAATCTGAAAAAGAGTTAATGTGTTTTATCGATCCGGGCATTATTTACAGAGGCGCTAATACGAGAATGTGATTAAAATTCATCAACTTTCTCTTGCCATTGTGTTCCGCATAACTTGTACACGCTACACAACTGCATAAAATCCGCAGGTCCTAGACATCAGGAATTATAATGACGGTTGTCCATCCTGCCGGGCCTTTTACATTTGCTTTTCGAGATCGTACCCGTAATGCTCGTCATTAATAAACGTTCCTTCAAATTATGAGGGCATTCGTTGCCAAAGACAAAGCGAGTTATTATCGTGGACCGACGCGCCGGTATTGCTGCTCTTGCAAGTTTATTTAATACTCACGTCTCGGTTCGGGTTCAACAACACTGTCGAGGAAGTCCTGGGGCGTCATGTACAGTTGCCCGTCATATTCCACCGATGCAAATTTTATAAATCTCCGTTCTCGCGTCGTCAGCTTTACTGCCTTTTGTGTCTCATCGTCGTGCTGCACATCAGAATGGGCGAAAGAGTTAAACGTCAATTTGTTATTTCAAATTTACGTGTCGCCGTTGCGCCTTCGAGCAGGCACTTCGCTATACAGGGTGTTCCACGTGACGATCGTCATATTCTATTGGGTGTGACCGAACGGTAATGTCGGATTTCTGCAGTGGATGATGCGTTTTTTTGTTATCCCAATACAAGACACTGCTCGGAATCAGAGTTGGGCAAAATATAATATAATTAGCAATTATAAAATCCAAATCACAATTACAATGTAATTGTGGGACAACTACAATTAAAATTACATTGTAATTAACTATACTAAATTTACAATAAAAATTACAATGTCATTGTAATTGTAATTGTCCCGCAATTGCCTTGCAATTTAGATTACATTTTGCCCAACTCTGCCCCTAACTAATAAAGTATTAACATTTGAACGCGTCGTTTATTCTTCGGTTGTTACACAGGGTCGAAATAGTTCTAAATTTGACTTTGAAATAAAATATCTTTGAGGTAACATTAAAAACGATACTATTGGCGCCATGTAGTAGTACTTTCATGTATCCTAAAAAAACTTTTTGTTGGAACTTTATTTCATGAATTTTGTTTAAGATGATACTTTGAATGTTAATTTTTTACAATCAAAATATATTCTACAATGTTCAAACTTTATCAAATTGGCTTAGGTTGAATTGACCCAGTGTGACAACTACGTTCGAAAAAGAATGTGACAATCGAGGGTTAAAGAAAAACAATATGATTGGGTTTTTTCTCGCATTAACTGTGTTTTAAAAAAGAGTGATGAGAAGATGCACTTTCGAGCAATTATACTTTTTTATTTCCGGAGACAGGCACAACGACACGAACGACAGAATAGATTTCGTATGTACAATATGTACATGTTGATGGTGCTGTGAACGAACGAAAATTAAAAAAAAGCATAATGCTGGAAAGTACACCTTCTCGTCACCAATTTTCAAAACAAGGTCAATGCAAGAAAATTTGACCTAATTCTAAAATGATTTTCTTTTTAAAATACACAATGATTTCGAAGGTGTGTACGTTTATTAATTTAGGAGCAGTGCTTTGTAGTCAAATAAAAAAAGCATTATCTACCGCAGAAATCCGATATTAATTTTTGACCAACCCAATATACTTTACGTAATATATAGAACATTTTTATGTATAGTATTAGAATATTACTAACTAAGTATAGTGCGTTTGTAAGGCTATCTGAACACCATGTGTAATGATATAACTATCGAAAATGTATCTATCTTCTCGTTACCTAAAAAGGAAAAGAATCAAAAAAATCTTTTCGTTATATCAAAAGTGAAGTCACCTGAATGATTTTAAAAGACGCGACTTGGAGAACTTTTTTCTCTTTTTTTCTTCCATTCTTTTTAAATCAAAACACTTTTGAAGTAAGAAAATAAGGAAAGTTCTGAGAAATGCAATTCCTAGGAATTCAATTACATTAAACACAAGATAGCATATGTGTAATAAATACGAAGACAATAATTTCTGCCTCATTCTATTATAAATATAGTCTATTCAGCTTTAATAGTCTGTAGGTAGTATTTATTCAGGGCTTTCCATAATTACAAAATATTTTTCTACTTTGCATTCGGTAACTGTTTTAATTAATTCTGATAGGGAATGCTTTCATGTTGCATTTTCCAATTGATTTTTAATATCAAATTAAAGTAGAGGAGGTGTTCCAAATACATGCTAGAGTCTAAACATGGGCTAGTAGAAAGTATAGGGTCACCGTTAGGCAATTCAGGCTAGCGGGAATAGTGTGAAACTATTACTCAAGAAAAAAAGAAGCTTCTATTAACACCACATCATAAGGCAAACATGTTTTAGATACACTAAAGTGTTACGTTTTAAAAATCTTCAAGAGGTTGGGAATAAATCCAGCAGTAAAAGTGCTAGCCCATATTTAGATCACCTCCTCTACTTTTTGTTTACATGGTATTAAATTAAATCACCTTCTTTACCCCATACATTGAAGTTTTACATCAAAATTAAATTACAAGTGAGTATATCATGTTTCTGGTGCGTATCATTCAGATTTTCTTGAACAAGAAACTTTTGTACGCAATCTTGTTAATGTCACGCCTGAAGTAAATCTGTAAGTGTGTAGCGTGAAATTCACATATGTACTTTCTTTATCCATGTCGAGGTTTATAATCGTATGATTAAAATGACTATGCAAGTATAAAGTATCGATCGAACTGAATGCATTTTTGCCCTCTGGGCGAAAACATAGTTTCTTTTGTTTAGCCCGCAATCAGTTACGTTTGAAATGACGGTTTATTTACTTGGTGTTATACGTAGGATGTTTTATAAAAATATGGTTAGTATAGCTAATTTCGTAAACTCATACTTCGCAACGACTTGAGCTTAGTACTCATGAAAGTAGACCTCGCTATAGGACACGGATTTAAGAACAGTTCTCCCTCAGTTATTGTTCTCGAGTAGCTGTTACGTCTACAGGGTGTTAATAAAAATGCTGGTCACTTTTAGGGGACAGATCTACAAGCCGAACTAACAAGAGAAGGCACGGAAATGTCCCCCTCAGATTTTGATGAAACTACGTATGTCTGTTAAGCAGTCAAAAATAAGGGATACGTATTTTTTTTATCGGCTGAGACGCGACTTTAAGAGGTGAAACCACCCCTCGAAGTTTCGACCCGAAAATACTATCTCGAAAACCAGAGGAGATACATGAAACTTCTGATGGACGAGGTTCGCAGTTTTTTTTATGTAGAATAATATGGTGCTAACAAATTGTCCAAAATATAATTTGTTTATAACAAAAAAATTTCGGATCAAAACTTTGAGGGGTGGTTTCACCGCTTAAAATCGCGTCTCAGCCGATAAAAAAATACGTATCCCTTATTTTTGACTGCTTAACAGACATACGAAGTTTCATCAAAATCGGAGGGGGGCACTTTCGTGCCTTCCCTTGTAAGACAAAAATCAAGAATGACGAAATTGCGTTTCAGGCATCGTTTCCGAGTAATTGATTATTGACAATATGGGTGAAATAGGTCTGATGCGATGGGTTACTCTATTTGAGAGGCGTGTCCTTCACCTGTTTCACGAATTTGTTCTATTCATTTCATTTTTTTTCATTCTTAATTCCACTAGTTCATGGATCGGGTCCATGTATCAGCTGTTCGAGTAGTATAACCGATTGCACTAGACCAGGGGTCGGTAAACTTTTAAGACGGAAGAGCCAAATCTGTCCCTTACAACAATTTAAAAATTATTTCAGAGCTATAAATATATTTTTATAAATAAGGAAAATTTAAAGTAACATTATAACAAGTTCTAATATTAATTATATCTTTATTAAATGAAGAAGAAATCTTAGAAAAATTGCTCTCATTGATTGTATTTTCATTTTTAATTGTACTTCAGAGGCACATGTAAGTAGGTACCCAAAGAGCCGCATTTGGCTCGGGAGCCGCAGTTTCCGACCCCTGCACTAGACCCATTTCACGCGTATACCTACTTTGCCCGTATTTTCAACAATTAATAACTCGGAAACGAAGCCTCTAACGCAATTTCATCATTTTTCATTTTCGAGTTAGTTGGGCATGTAGAATCCACCCTATATGCTTTTTAACACCTTATATAGTTAAACGATAATTATTCACCAGAGATTAATACTTCAGTGGAAATATGCGTGAGAACTTGTTTGGAGAATTATACACATGCGTCACGAGTATAATTAAGTATCATCTCTCTTGAGATTTTCTATTAAAAGTTAACTTTACTAGTAAACACAAACCGGAGAGCAAAATTTTTTCGCTTTTATATTCAATAGATTAATTAATTGTCGCTTTTATATTCAATAGATTATGTACGATAGTTCACTCTGAAGTAGACACACATGTGAAAATCACTCTCGAGACAAATTGTGGAGTTTGGTAGGTACTCTCACGTCGACATGTAGCAATTGAAATTTTGCACGTCGCGTATAGTGTTTTAAAACAACCGCCGGATGGCGAAAAACCTATAATTTTGATCATTTTGTATTAATTAATACTCGGTTTTTGTAACTTTCTAAATCCTTACAGATCCTTCATTAGAATGTACCATTTACCTATGGAAATTGTTTAAATACAGTGATATGTACATAGAAATCTGTCATTTCTATCGTCTTTAAGAATACCACTTGGCGGTTAACATTTCTTCTCGCAAAGAGTTACACGTTTTAACCGCGTGTATCTCAATTCATTGAGTAGAACAATATGAATTGGTAAAAACTGGTTAAACCTTTACCGTTATCGTGTAGTTAGGATTTAGTTCTTCCGTGTTTTATAAAAATCATGTACTACCTTTTGCAACTTTCTTTTGTATTTAATTTTGAAGCTTGATAACAGTCCGTGGATAGTTTGCAGACTATCATAGTCTGTTATTGAACATTTGAGATTATCGACAAAAACAAAAAACGAAACATGTGGATAATATCTAAGAGCACTTATGCACTGTATGACATAACTATAAAACCACTCCAAAATGTTCAATCCTTATGTGTGTGGTTAAAACAAAAACGAACCACTTTTTATCTAGGGAATATAATCTATCCTTTGACATACTTGGTTCGTTGTTATTCTAACCACAATATGTAAAAATTGAACATTTTAGGATTGTTTTTTAGTTATGCCTCACAGTGTATTAACAGTGGTACGAATAATCCTTCCGACGAATCTGATTAATTTTATATATGTACCAATATAATAATTATAAATGTTAATATTAAATAATAATTTAATATAAAAGTGAAGTGAAAATTATAAATAAATATTTAAATATTTTATTTATGATTTTCGTTTGACTTTCACATTAATTTCTATATAAGTTTTAATTAAATTCTATATAAATTTATATAGAAATTAAAAACAAGTCGTAATCTTTGATGGTCTTACTTGTTCTCAATGATTTATACACTTTCGGGACGAAATATTAGTTGTCCACGGTCAG